TCGACAAATGGTCAAATTTATGTTTTGTTCTTAAAGATGGAAGGATTTTAGTGAGATCACGTATTTTAGTGAAATCACGTATTTATAAAATCAGGTCTCTGAATACTAGTATTGATATCATAGATTAGGCCTAGCGTTAAAATGGAATGAAAATGGCATGAATCTGATTCTTGTGAATATATATCTGATCAGCTATGAAGTCCTCAAAGCCTGCTATAGCCTGATAGCTTGGCTATGGATTCCTACAAACCCAAACATGCTTAGGTAGTCCTCAAAACCTGCTATAAGAATGGTAAATGACAGTCCCTAATACCATTTGGAAATTCTTCAGGCGCTCTATGGCACTCTATGACCAGCTCCCCAAGCCCTGTGTCATTATGGGCGATTTAAATGGACATAATCCACTTTGGGGTAGTGCTGATTCAAACCGTAAAAGGAAAACATTAGAAGATTTCATTTCTGACAATGCTTTATGCATTTTTAAGGATAACTATTTACCTATTTACATGCAGGTACAGGCTACTATTCATCTCTTAATCTATCACTTATCAACTCTGAGCTTCTACATTTATTCGAATGGTCAGTCCACGACGATCTTTGTGATCATTTTACGACGATTCTTTAAACAATAACTCCATCTGATGTTCCACCATCATCAAGATTGAATTCCACTAAAGCTAACTAGCCTTTATTCGAGTTACTCTGTACGAGCAAATTACATCCTAATCGTTTTATTGATGTTCCTGATTCAATAAAAGTGTTCTCTGATGAACTTAATAATATAGCTGATGAATGCATTCACAAATCCTCTGCAAATCCACACATCTTTAAACCATGGTTTAAGGATACTTGCAAACAATAGGAAGGCAAGGGAAAAAGCTGAACATTTTTTCCGTCACCATCCTTTTGTACATAATTTAAATAAATTCAAAATTGCAAATGCCAAAGCACGGCGTACGTTTAAGCAAAATAAACGCAAGTTTTGGCAAGCTTACATGTCAAAAATATATTCACGTACGCCCATGTCGCAAGGTATGAAACATGATCCAAAAAATCAAGGGTACGGGATCTAAATCTGGCATTCGCCATCTTAAGAATGGGAATGAGTTGTTAACTGATCAATCTGATATTGCAAGTAAACTGGGTGAAACTTTGGCCAAACAGTCTTCCTCTTCCAATTATGTGCCTCAATTTCAAAAATGTCAAAAACAGCAGGAAAAGAAAGCTATTAATTTTAATTCAGATAATGTGGAAGATTACAATGAAATATTGTCTATTCATGAGTTACATACTGCACTCGGACAGGCTCACGATATTGCTACTGGAGCTGATAACATACATTATCAACTCCTGAATCACTTACCAGAATCATGTTTACAATCACTGTTAAATATCTTTTATGAAATTTGGACATCAGGGCGATTTACACCGTCTTGGCGTAATGCCATTGGTGTTCCAAAACCTAAACCAGAACGTGATCACACAGATCCATCGAATAATCGACCAATCTCACTGACAAGCTGCGTTTGCAAAACCATGGAACGCATGATAAATAATCGACTTATATGGTACTTAGAAACAAATAATCTCATTACAAATATACAAAGTGGTTTCCCTAAGAACAGAAGTACTATCGATCATTTAGTGCGTTTAGAATCATTAGTAAAGAATGCCATAATAAACAAACAACATGTAGTGTCTATCTTTTTCGATCTAGAAAAAGCATATGACACTACATGGAAAAATGGTATTTCAAAAGATTTACGTAACTTTGTACTGCGAGGTCGTTTGCCTTAGTTTATATATCCAACCTTTTAACAGACAGACAATTTCAAGTCCGCGTGGGTTCTACCTTGTCTGATCAGGATCATGGTGTCCAACAAGGCAGTATCTTGTCTGTCACATTATTCAGCATTAAAATTAATAGCTTATCGTAAGTTTCAAACGATTCAATTGATGGATCACTTTTGTGGATGATTTAAATATTTTCTGTCGTGGCAAAACCATGCATACAATCGAAAGGCAACTGCAGCTATGTTTAAATAAAATCCAGAAATGGTCTTTGGAAAACGGATTTAAATACTAAAAATCTAAAACAAACTGCATTCCTTTTTGTAGAAAATATAAACCGCATAAAAATCCAGAACGTTTTTAGATAACACTCCTATTAAAGTTGTAAAAGAAGCCAAATTCTGGGTATAGTTTTCGATCACCATTTGACTTTTCTGCCTCACATTAAATATTTGAAGAATAAGTGTCTGAAGGCCCTGTACTTACTGAAAGTTGTCTCAAATTCTAAGTGGGGAGGAGATCTGAAAACCCTCCTTCAACTATACAGAGCACTTTTCCGCTCCAAATTAGATTATGGCTCCATCATTTATGGTAGAGCTTGTAAAAGCAATTTAAAAATTCTAGACCCTATTCACCATCAAGGCCTGAGGCTTTGCCTTGGGACCTTCAGAACTTCGCGGGGGCACAGGTGGCCCAGTCGTCTAAGGCGCCGCGATTCGCTGTGCAGAGTTGCGTCCCTTGGGCACGCCAGAAACCTATGATTGTGGGTTCGAATCCCGGTTCGCCCCGATTATGTTTCTAGGTTTGTCATCAACATACCCGTGCTCGTGGGTTTCACTGAAGTGGTAAACGGGCTTTCCTCCCACATTAAGCTGACACGCCGCGATATAACTGGAATACTCACTCACTCACTAACTTCAGAACTTCGCCGATACAAAGTCTGTATGTGGTAGCTGATGATCCGTCCCTTCGACAACGTCGCATTATATTATCTTTGCAATATGTATCTAAATTACGTTCTTCGAAATCCAATCCAGCTTATGACTGTGTTTTTAATACTCTATACGAAAATCTCTACCAAACAAAATTATCTCTTATTCCACCTCTTGGAATAAGACTACAATCTCATATTTCTGCTGCGCAAATAAAACTTGGAAACATTGCCCCCACTCAGCTTTTCTCTTCTCCACCATGGCAGTTTTTAAAACCAGAGCCGGACTTAACATTCACTAAACTAAAGAAATCTGACACAAATTAACTAATTTATCAACAACAATATCATGAATTACGAAGCACATATGATACTCTCAAATCTATATTTACAGATGGATCCAAGATGGGGACGCTATTGCCAGCGCCACTGTCATTGGATCCAGGACTATTTTATCCCGATAACCAAATAACTGTTCTATTTTTACAGCGGAAGCAAATGCTATTTTAACTGCACTCAAATACATCAACAGCCAATCTAAACATAAACAGTTCATAATTTTTTCAGATTGTTTTTCTTGCATCTAGGCTATGTCTTCCACACTTCCACTTTTAATAGAAATTATTGAATTGTTTAATGATCTTGCTACTGGCAATGCGACATCGTCTTTTGTTGGTTACCCAGCCATGTTGGAATCACTGGGAACACAATGATTGATGCTGCTGCAAAAGCAGCACTCAACAAATCTGTGACGCCACTTCGTTTCACATACACCGACATCAAACCTCTCATCAGATGTTACATCCGAGATCTGATGCAAAAGAAGTGGGACACCCAAGTAGGTATTAGTAAATTACATGAAATGAAACCAACTATTAAACACCTACTTGGGTTGTCAGTCCAGATTTGATGAGGTCATAATACGACGATGACGGATTGGCTATAGCAGGCACAAACATGAATATTTATTGAAAAGTGAGGATCCTCCAGTTTGTATCCCTTGTGAAGGGAGAATCACCGTCAAGCATGTCCTGCTTGACTGTATTTATTTTGCCATCACAGGGGATAAATATTTCAAAGCATCATCCATTAAGGATCTTTTTAATAGTATTGATTCTCGTTTAATTATTTTTTTTTAAAGGAAATAGAGTTGATTGAGAATTTTTGATTGATACGTATGATAAAATATGAATGTTTTAAAATTGGTAGATTAAATTAGCAACTGAGATTGTTTGTTGCAGTATCCTTGAAGGGGGTTAAATACTGTAAAATGATTGTCCCCCTGAGCGGATACGTAAGATCCACATCGTTCAAAGTAAATTTAAGCCTACTGCGATTTTAATAGTAGTATAGTCGTTAGTTTTAATTGACGGCTAAACTTACATATAATCGCCAGCGGCTGAAGGTATGATGTAAATCCTGCTAGGGTCTACATTCAATAGCTGGTGAACTATGGGCCGTTTTTTCATTGTATTGTTCTGTTTGGTAAAAGCTTGTTAGGATCAAATACTAGTTTTAAAAATAGCTATAGGTGATAAGTCTAGTAATTTTACTGTCCTTTGATGACAGGTTTTAATGTTGTCTAAACTGATGTTTTCCTAACGTAAAATTTACCTTAGTCACGGCTGCAATATTGCCGATGTGACTATAAATACTCACTCACTCACTCACTCTTCTAAAGTATGGCTACCCTACATGAAAGGCAGCCTACATGTAAGCACTGTTTGATCCAAGAAGATGGTACAAGTGACATGTCAAACGATATACAATTATAGACTTTTCAGGAGGTTAACACCTGTTTTTTTATGAAAACAATATTGACAGAGGACTCCATCTAATGGCTGGGTTTTTGTCGCTTTTATTGTATTGACACCCTCGAGTGAGTGAAGGAGTGAGTGAGTGAGTGAGTGAGTTAAAATTTTACATCGCATCGGCAATATTGCAGCCATATTGAAATGAATTGACACCGTGGAATATTGCTGCGTGCGGCATTAAACAACATACCAACAAACAAACTTTTATTGTATTGTAAACAACCAGGATAGGATAAATACATCAATGCAAATGTAAGGTTACAGAATAAACATTGGTATGACAAACAAAACATCACAAGCAGTAGTATTGTAGCATGCAAAATGTATCAAAACATAAAAGGATGTGCGATTGATATGCCGAGAAAATCAAGCATATATTCATTTCAACAATACACAAATAGTTGATGCTGTATCAATTGTGTTTCTGTCAAGCACTAAATATACTGATACACTCTTATTTGCAGACACTAAGCCTTGCAGTTACTACATCGATGGGTCGGACGCAGCAAATGAAGGGCACTGGGTATTTCATGATGGCCGCAATATGACGTTCTTTCCCTGGGCTCCGGACTATCCCCTTGGCGACAGTAGGAGGGACTACATGTTGGCTCACAGGAATGGAAACTTCCTATGGCGCAATGCGATAAATCTAAAATATAAGCATTGTTACATTTGTGGGAGGGATGTGTGATATGCTGAATGTTGCAGCAGTGGACATTATCACGCCTCCAAGATGTGATTGTGTAAGGAATACATCCTGGATCTGTAATGTAATGAGTGATTGTTGGTTAGTTTGTGTGTTTAACGCCGCACCCAGCAATATTCCAGCTATATGACGGCGGTCTGTAAATAATCGAGTCTGGACCAGAATTTGACTGAAACTTTAGCGACCTGGTGACGATCATTATATTTACATGTATAAAATCTTTATACCGTGTGGTCCTAAATTAAGAACACCAAGAACAATTAAATGTTTTTTGTCTTGTACAAAAATCTAGAGTTTTTAAAAGTTATACGGTGAATAAGAAGACCTGGCTTTATGCCGTCAAAGGGGGCACGGGTGGCCCAGTCGTCTAAGGCGCCGCGATTCGCTGTGCAGAGTTGCGTCCCTTGGGCACGCCAGAAACCTATGATTGTGGGTTCGAATCCCGGTTCGCCGCGATTATGTTTCTAGGTTTGTCAGCACCATACCCGTGCTCGTGGGTTTCACCGAAGTGGTAAACGTCTGTGACCTGTATCACTTCGGGCTTTCCTCCCACATTAAGCTGACACGCCACGATATAACTGGAATACTGTTAAAAGCGTCGTTAAACCAAACTCACTCATTATCCTTACTGTACATCCGGCTTCATTACCTGTGTGCTATTTTTTATTCTTTCTGTACATTCAACTTCAGCGAGTCATCTGTATGCTACTTGTTAACTATAATGTGATGGAAATGTTAATCTGCTTACTACATATTCTGCAGATATAACTCTCCTCACTTGGTTGCAGTCACCTATCAAATTGATAATGGCGTGAGAATCTACATAGAAACATCGCTATAAACCAGAAATTATCAAGAAAATTGTGCGTTTTCCAATAATTGTTCATGACATCACAAACGATTGCATGGGGGACGTTCCAACGATAGAATAACTGAGCTCCACTTGAGCTGGGGGCGGTGGGGTAGCTTAGAGGTTAAAGCGTTCGCTCGTCACGCCGAAGACCCGGGTTCGAGTTCCTACATTGGTACAATGTGTGAAGCCCATTTCTGGTGTCCCCCGCCGTGATATTGCTGGAATATTGCTAAAAGCGGCGTAAAATCACAAAATCACTCATTCACACTCCACTTGAGATCTGGAAACCAACATTCGTCTCAGAAAAAATACTATGGGTGGTCAGGGTAGTACTGCTGCATATTTTATGAACGATTTGTCTTCTCTCATGTTTGCTGATGATGTTTGTTTGTTTCACGTTGCTATCGGACTCAAATAATGATGTATTTGTTTGTTTGTTTGTTGTTTAACGCCGCACTCTACAATAATCAACCTATATGACGGGGGTCTGTAAATAATCGAGTCTTGGCCACTAGTCTCGTGTGATTGATAACATGAGCTTCGACCCACACAATTGGGATATCATGACATCAACCAAGTCAGTGAGCCTGACCATCCGATCCCGTTAGTCGCCTCTGACGGCAAGCATATTCCCCTAGCATGGGTTGCTGAAGGACTATTACTGATGATGTCTCAGCAATGTTTGACATATGTTCGCAACTGCAACGAACGTTAAATGTACTGGAAAGTTTTTGTAATCATACTGGTATGAAAGTAAACCTGAATAAAACTAAGGTTATTGTGTTTATTAATGGTGATCCCTTTAGGTTTTATGAAAGTGGTTTTGTGATGGTACACCCACTTTATATCAATATCTGGGACCTATATTCACCCAGTACACTGGAATGTCCCAGGAGAGATCAGATAGTACGGGTTGAGATCAGAGTGAACTGGGAGAGATTGAAGTGTGTCGGGAGAGATCAGCTAGCACGGGGTGAGATCAGAGTGAACTGGGAGAGATTGAAGTGTGTTGGGAGAGATCAGATAGTACGGGGTGAGATCAGAGTGAACTTGGATGGATTGAAGTGTGTTGGGAGAGATCAGATAGCACGGGGTGAGATCAGAGTGAACTTGGAGAGATTGAAGTGTGTCGGGAGAGATCAGATAAGACAGGGCGAGATCAGAGTGAACTGGGAGAGATTGAAGTGTGTCGGGAGAGATCAGATAGCACGGGGTGAGATCAGAGTGAACTGGGAGAGATTGAAGTGTGTCGGGAGAGATCAGATAGCACGGGGTGAGATCAGAGTGAACTGGGAGAGATTGAAGTGTGTCGGGAGAGATCAGATAGCACGGGGTGAGATCAGAGTGAACTGGGAGAGATTGAAGTGTGTCGGGAGAGATCAGATAGCACTGGTTGAGATCAGAGTGAACTGGGAGAGATTGAAGTGTGTCGGGAGAGATCAGATAGCACGGCGTGAGATCAGAGTGAACTTGGAGAGATTGAAGTGTGTCCGGAGGGTGTGAGTGAGTGAGTGAGTTGATAATTAATGTCACATCGGCACTTTTTCAGCCATACCGTGACGAGAAGTTGTACATTAAATATACATATATTTAGACTTTATAAAAACCTGTCATCGAAGGACATTATGATAACTAGAATATCAAAGATAAGATTTAAAACTAGTTGCGGAACATTTAAAAGCATTAAGTATTAATGAACAAAACAATATAAAAATGGGCTAGAGATCATCAGTAACTAAAGGGAGAACACCATACCACGGACCATGGGGACTTACAGTACTTTTGCTTCCTGCATGGACCCTGGCAGGATTTATATCAACCCTTCAGTCACTGGCGATAGTTTACCAGTTAAGCCTTATATTGAAATGACAAAAAATACTACATATTAAAATTCTGGCATGCATAAAAATACTTTGAATGATTTGGGACTTAGGGGGACAATAATTTTACGCTACTTCAACCCCCTTCGAGGTACAGCCACTAACCATCTAAGTTATGAATTTGCACTACCAATTTATAAAATAATACATAAAACACATCCAAATTTATGAACAAGTTCGATTTCTTTTAAAAAACCTAATATTAAACGAGAATGAACACCATTAAAAAGGTCCTCTATTGTGTTAACACTGAAATATTTATCCCGTGGGATCAGAAGTGGTGTCACAGATTTGTTGATTGCTGCTTTTGCAGCAGAGCCATTGTGTTACCAATGATACCAACATGGCTGGGCAACCAACAAAAGACGATGTCATATTGGCCAGTAGCAAGATCATTAATTAATTCGAGAATTTGAATTAAAATTGGATGTTTCGAAGACATATTTTTAATCGCCTGAAGGCACGATGGGGAATCAGAAAAAATAATGAATTGTTTATGTTTAGATTGATCACTGATATATTTTAGTGCTGTAAAAATGGCATGTGCTTCTGCTGTAAATATGGAACAGTTATCGGGTAATCGTGAAGATATTGTTCTGGATCCAATGACAGTGGCACTTGCAACTTCGCCACCATCCTCTGATCCATCTGTAAATATAGATTTATAAGTGTCTAAAGCGTGTCTTAGTTCATGGTATTCTTGTTTGTAAATTAATTGGTTAGCATCAGATTTCTTTAGTTTTGTTAATGTCAGGTCTACCTCTGGCTTCACCATTTGCCAAGGAGGAGATGAGAAAAGTTGAGTAGGAGCTATATTTTGGAGTTTAATATTAGAAGCTGATATTACAGATTTTATTCTGATTCCGAGTGGTGGAGTGAGTGTTGATTTCTTATTGTAAAGATCTTCGAAGAGAGGATTGACTATACATTCAAAAGCTGGATTTGACTGATTAGAACATAATTTAGTGATGTATTGTAAAGATAATTTTAGACGGCGTTGTTTAAGAGAAGGCTCGTCTGCTTCTATATATAGACTGTGAATGGGAGACGTTCTAAAGGCTCCAAGGCAAAGCCTTAGGCCCTGAAGATGTATAGTATCTAGTTTTTGTAAATTACTTTTGCAAGCTCCACCATAGACGATGGAGCCACAATCAAGTTTTGAACGGATCAATGACCCGTATAAGAGTAAGAGGGTTAGATAGATCAAGTGCCTTTAGGCATTTAGCCTTAAGGTATTTAATATGTGGAAGGAAAGTTAAGTGGTTATCAAAAATAAGTTCCAAGAACTTGGCCTCCTTTACAACCTTGATAAGGGTGCCAATCAGAAATAGTTCAGGGTCCTTATGTGGCTTATATTTTCTGCAAAAATGTATGCAATTAGTTTTTGATTTGGAAAATTTAAACCCGTTTTCTAGACACCACTTGTGAATTTTATTTAGACATAATTGTAATTGCCTTTCTTTTGTGTGCATAATTTTACCACGACAAGATATATTAAAATCATCCACAAAAGGTTATCCATTAACGGAATCATTTAAAACTTTTGACAAACTGTTAATACTACCTTGTGGGACACCCTGATCCTGATTATAATGATCAGACAGGGTTGTACCCACTCGGACTTTGCCTGTCTGTTTAAAACTGTGATATAAAATCAGGCAGACGGCCTCTAAAACCAAAATCATGAAGATCTTTTAAAATACCATGTTTCTATGTTGTACCTTAGGCCTTTTCTAAGTCGAAAAAGATCGATACAGCATGTTGTCTATTAACAATGGAATTTTTAATGAACGATTCTAAACGCACTAAAGGATCGATAGTACTTCTGTTTTTCCAGAAACCACATTGTATATTGGTAAGAAGATCATTTGTTTCCAAGTACCACACTAATCAATTATTTAACCATGCGTTCCATAGTTTTACAAACAGAGACTAGGCACATTTTCAGATAATGTTGATGGTGGGGGCATTTCATGTTTACGGCTGGCAAACAACTTTTCTAGACGTATTGATATGTTCTAAATTGATTTGGGGGGTTTGCCCGGCTGTATCTTCAACGATTAACCCACAAATTTGAAGAATTGAAAATGGCCGCCAATGAAATTTAAAAAATTATTTTTTGTCATAATTTTGGTACTAAACATGGCGGGACGACAAATAAAACATTTCTCTGTATGTTTTCATGTACAAGGAATCCATTGAAACCACACGTTAACTCACAATATGTCAAGAAATCAAGATGGCCGCCATATTAGGGCAAATTCGATTATTAACTGCATCGTCTGATGCAAACAGAGTCTTATTGACATGAGTGACTTAACTTTATCATACTATATGGTTGTAATGTGGGAGAAACTAACTGTAAATGATACAGCTATAGTTAAATATAGTTGTTTGCCTTCACCGTAAACAATTTTGAATGAAAATTACCACAGTATTGTCACTTATCAAGGTAGTATAGGAATGAGCTGCATAGTGAATGTGAAATCGCATCTCTGTAATTTTTCTCATATTAAATATCAATCCATGCATGATGCAAATATAACATTGCAGAAATATGAAACTTTTATCTATTATTTTCAATTGTTGTAATTTTACATAACTAACTGTGTGTGAAGGACCACTTGGTGACATAGTTTATGTACCATCAGGTAGAATGTTCCTGCATTCTTCAGCGTGCTTGTGACATTTGCA